AACTCGAACCACTCTGCCCGAAAGAGGTGGAGTGCAGGGAGCGGTTGGGAGGTGCTCGCTATATAGCGACGGCGCATACGCTCGCACGCGTGAAGTTTGATTTGCAGCCACTCGCAATACATTGGTTTTGATTTCTATGCCGTTTCTGTCACAGCTACACGACAGCGATTGCGCCGGTTACGGTAGCAGTACTTTTCGATATGACAACATCAGTTGGATGTGTCTTTTTTACAAGCTGTTCGAATGTCGACTAAGCGGTGCCGACCATGCCGACCGCCGTCTGTGGTGACGTTCGCGCCAAGTACCCGAAGCTGGAATCAACATGCGCGTATACGTACACGAGAGCGCTGAGCATCCTTGGTTATTATTTCGTGGGAAGAGTCAAAGGCTGTAGAACCAAGCGGTATGTTTTGCATTTCGGATAAAACCGCCCTCACCCGGGACGGCTTTCCGATCACGGGGCATCTGAGCGTCGGAGGTCTCGGCTGGCAGCGAGGCAGGCGGTGACGGCGACGCTGGACAGAGCATCTCCGCTTGGCTGCTGCGTGTGCCGCTGAGATTGCTCGCGACTGGATGCTCGAAGTTCTGAATCTGCGAGCGCTCCGGGTTTGCAAGGGGAAGGGGCTATAACTAAATAATTATGAAGTAAGCTTCTTGCGAGACGCACACATTTGGCCTTAAAGACTGACGCCGCCATAGCAAACCGTTCGGCAAAAAACTTTAATTAAGTTTTTTGCCTTTCTTTGTGTGGCATCGCGGAAGAACGATCCCACTATAATATCTTTAAAACCAGCTCGAAGGACAAATGTTCCTGCCACGGGCACTTGCGCCGCCATAGCTTCCGAAGCAAAGAGCCAAAGTCTTCTGCTACGACTCTCAGTACTGCCTCCAGCCGCAGTGCAAGTGGCGCTGCGTGCGGTTTTCAAAGCGCCCCTTATAGGTCCCGCACGGGGTGTATAGCCATTTCCTAGCGGCTAGAGCCCTTGCATGCACTCTTAGATGGGGACTCCCAGCACCTAGTGTAAGCACCAATCACTTTTTCTTCGTTGTAAAATCGTTTTATGACATCCTTTTTCCACGTAAGCCGTTTAAAAAAAAAGTTTTTTTCCTTTGCATGTGTCCTTTAAATGTTTGGCGAGTACTTCGTACACATTTGTTTAAATGAGTGCAGGCTAATAATTAAAGTGAAATTGCATCTAGTTACTCACAAAACCAGATCCTGTGGTGTCCTTCAGAGTTGGGAAGTTTTCCACAAGGCACCTTGCGGCCTCGGCATAGAGCTTATCCGGGTACCTGCACAAGTAAAGGAGAGACATAGTGCCATCAATTGGAAAAATCAATGAATAGGAGCATTAATCACCATTTATGATGAAGAAAGAAGCGTGCCCAGTGTTTCCTGCCAGAGAGCCAAAATATGAAGATTGGATTTGTATTGATTTGTCAAAGAGCTGTCTAAAGAATAAAAAAAAAATATGCACATGTGCTCATTTGAGCCACTAAAAATTAGGAGTTAGTTCAGTCCCAACTTGAACTTACAGGTCGTAGAGGCACAGGTCGTGGAAGAGCCACTGAATGATCCTCGATCGGCAAGGCAGGTACTGCCCCCTCGTGTGTTTTTGTAATGCCTGCGCGATGTCCAATGGCACTTTTGGAAACCTGTATTCCGATGGAGCTTTCGACGGAGCTTTCGATGGTGCAGAGTCCTCTTGAATGACGACATCCATGATTCTAGATATATAAAATAAAACATATTCGCTTCAGTTAAAATAAAGAAAAAAAAAAAAAAACACTGAACAATTTTGAATACAAGAATGCCCTTGATTTAATTTGTTTTGAAGTACAGGAACCAAATTTTAGGTCATAACTTGTTCACACAGACACGTGTATATCTTATCTTTTATCCCACAGGGAAACCAAAACATGTCAAAAGTGCAAACAACTATAGCTGCATTGTTTCTACCTAGAAGACTCGGTTTCAACTGCTAAAAGCCAGCATCTATACATGATGTCAAAAACAAGTTGAGCCCAATTATGCTACAGAGACAGTCTTGAACATTTTCTTGCAGAGGCATCGTTGTTGTCAGTCCTGATAACAGCACTTGAAGCACACATGCCTGACTGCTTCAGTCTTTGCAAGCATTTTTACCCACCTGAACTGTGACTCATCCAAAGAAATGGTTACCAGCGCTGCATCCTCGAGGATCGTGCCCTCCATGAGGTCCACATCTGTTTTATACCGAGGATGGTATACCTTGTGCGACAAAAGAATGAAAGGAAAGTTATAGGCATCACTGTCAACACACGTAACCTAAGGTATGCACAAGTAAAACCAGAGAACACTTCACAAAAATCTCTGACGGGCCTACACGTATCCATATCCTAAAACGGCCTCCTGGTCACAAGTGGTGATGCATCGCAGAAAGCTGATACTCCTCCGCCATACCCTGACGCTAGCTGCCTGTACAAAATGCTGAAGTTTAAGAACACGACATTACTTGGTTCAAAAAATATGAAAGGAAATTTTCAGTGAGCCGGTGTGTAGTTCAGCGTAAATTTTTACAAAAGAAAAATTACACTGTGGGCATAGTCATAAGATTACTTCCAACAGCTCAGAACACGTAGAAAGGGCTAGCGCTGAAAAGTTTAGTGATCCTGTATTCGATCCACGCATGAACCCGTTTCGATTTCAATGAGCATCGAACGGGCGAGCTCCAACTCAGCAAAAGGCACCAAGCGCTTGAAATGCCAAGATGTCTAGCGAGGGTCTCGTGCTAATGCGCCTTTTTACATAAACTGTTCGGTCATGTCGTGGAGAAATCACGAAGCAGTTTAGAGAGGGCCTAAAAGCATGTGCTTGACCAAACAATTTTATGTAGAAGGGCGCACCAGCGCGAGACCCAGGCTTGGCATTTCAAACGCTTGGTGCCGTTTGCTTAGTTGGAGACGCAGATTCTCGCGGGCAACTTTCCGCCGCGAATCCGACGAGGATAGCCCCTGCACAGTCTTAATCGGCGCTCAAGTTGCGTGATCGCACATAGCTTTGACTTCATTGCCACAAAGTTTAAGAACGTACTAAAGCTCCACTTCCAGCGAGAGCTTTGTAGCCTTGGTTACAAAAGCGTGCACGCGGAGAATGGCCATGAGCGCGTGCTGGATTCGGAGCTTCAAGTTCGTTCTTCATCGTACCGCACTCTTATACAAGTGCTGCCCGGTCCCACGCTGACCCCGCACAAAGCACAAATGACGTAAGTGAGCTCACCTGGATGTGGCTTGTTTGCAGGTCCACTCCTTGGAACAGCACATTGCCAGCAAGGGTCCGAATTAAATCGGCGCGCTTATGCTCTCCGTCAACAACGACAACTATCTTGTGTGCGCCGTACGACACCAAGCACTCAATCGCGCTCATTGCACCACTTCCGCGTTAAGCCACGCCAGCCACGCTCGTTAACTGAGGTCTCCACAGCTGAGGAAACCGTCGCCGAACTTGGAAAAGATAGGGTGATGCGGGAACGCCGAGAAAGTCCAACCAACGTAGCAACGTAGTTCCCTGCTTTCGCTTTGAACCACAAAGCAGCCACGCAGCCGTTGTGGAAACCGCGCGCCGATCCTTTTTTGTTGTCGCTTCCGGATGTAGGGCGGTAGGGCTACGGGCACACAACCGTTGGTCTCAGCACGCACGTGCAAGCCGCGCAAGCCGCGGCTTGCACGTGGACTGGATAATTTTAGTTTTTCGTGGTGATGTTTTTATTACAAAATTGTGGGTCATAAGGCGTTTTTGCTTTGTTACATTGTACCAATTCAATACTGCATAATCAAAAATAATATAAGAAAACATTTTCGCTATCTTGCTAGTCAATCTGATTTTGGCTCCAGTTTCGGCTAGCGGGTGGATAAATGTTAACGACTATACCCTTTGTAACGGGCGGTAGCTTGCGCCACCTAGTTTAAGTCTAAAAAAACAAAAACGTGATTTCTCCCGTCTTTTCAACCCCCTAACTATCACCAGGCAGCGTGGGATATCACCAGGATAACCTTCAAGGGATCGGGCAAAAAAAAACAAAAAAACTAAACATCATTCTTCTGCCCCTTCCCCCCGGCTAGGGAGTCGCCAATTGGTTTCAAACTTCGGGGTTTTCACAATGAAGCGGTCTTCTCACAGTGCAGTGGAGCTAACCAAACAAATTGCACTATTACCACAGGCCCGGTAGCACGTCTTCTACCTGAACCTAGACTGAACTTTCCAAACGCTGCTTTGATGCCCATATTTGAGAATCCTTAGGCACCCAAGTTCCTAAGAATGAGAAGTCCGCAGCTTCACCGCTAAACAATTGACTACCTTCCAGTCGTCGCCCACCCCAACAAAGCACAGTGAACAGGAATGGGGGACACACATATTCTACACAAAGAAAATGAGACGGGTGTCCGTGTTAGATATTGGGGTTCTGGTTTGAAACAGTGTTCTTACTGTTCTCCTTCTGTATTTTGTTCTTTTACTGTGTGATCATATCTCCCGGACTTCACAATAAAGCTGTCTTTGTTTGTTCTGTATTTCTGAAAACCTACAAAGGAAGGGTCAGTGCTGCACGGATCTTTATCCTTCCGAAACAAATTTTTGAAACCTTCATAAGGGACATAATGTGCACAAAGTGTGGTGCACCTGAGGGTTGAAAAAGAAAATGCAACGTGTCTTGTATGCGCGTGAAAATTGACAGTAAAAGGCTTTAAAATAATTGTTTTTAGTTTTGGCTATATTTTGTTTTATGGATAAGGATGGCTAGTTAGGCTATATTTGTCTTTGGCTATATTTGGGCTATACTCCCCAGCGATTTGGCGGTTTTTTGTGGGGCCGTCTGGCAACACTGTGGTATCATGGTGTGAATGGTGCTGAATGTTACTACAGTGAACTACTGTAATAGTACTCGACAACGTGCCTTCGCGTCGAAACCAAATACCATGGTTTACTAACGTGTCACAAGTTGCTTATTGTTCCGTAAAGAAAAATGGTAATAAGATACTGTCCAAGGTGCCCATACTTTTCTGAACAGTTCACGAAGGTGGTCAACCACATCGGAGTCGTTCATAGCGGTGACGACAACTTCACAGTATATTGTGGAATCGCCGGTTGCACAAATAGCTACAACCGGTTTTCATCGTACAAAACTCACCTTTATCGGTGTCACAGGGATCTGCTGGAAAGCACTGGAAGTGCCTTCGACCGCGACCGAAGAAATGAAATCCAGGACTGCCCAGCCACTGACCAAGGGGTTCTGAGTGACGATGCTGAAATGCCACAAGCGCCCCAGCCGCAACAAAGCAGCGGATCTCCAGAAAGAGAAGAGTTCAGCGATTTTGTGACAGAAGCCAAAGCTGCTATTTGGAACTTCTTTTTCAACACAACTGAAAACCACAAACTGGCACACACTGTGGCCGAAAAAATCTTCGGCAATCTGCAACTTGTTTTTGAGCGCATCATCAAGGCATATGCTGCTGAAATCGCAGCCAAGATTGATGCGTCTGCTCTGTCCCCAGATGCCATCTCACTGTTGGAATGTTCGTTCCTGCCCCGCCTTTTTGAGGGGATACAAAGCAAACACATGAGAGAACAATATGCAAAGACACATTTTCCATATGTCGAGCCAGTAAAATGTGATCTCGGTACTGAAGGGGGCTGCTATCACTATGTTCCAGTCCCGAGACTCCTTGCAAAGCTGTGCGAGGTTCCTGACATCGCTGCCCAAATCTACACACCACAACTGCGCCGTGACGACCCCAAGGTGTATGCCGACTTCACTGATGGGCTCCTGTTCCAAGATTTCAGGGATCTTATTGCGGAAGGAGTGCAGTACACCATTTTTCTGATGCTATACAGCGACGAGGTAGAGATATGTAACCCCCTAGGAGCGAAACGGGGCGTGCATAAGCTGCTCGCCGTGTATTTCACCTTGCTGAACCTGCATCCAAGGCACAGGTCACAGCTGAGATCCATCTACCTGGTGCTCCTTGTGAAGTATGAAGATGTACAGCAGTATGGCTTGGACGTCATTCTGAAGCCATTCATCAGTGATCTTAAGGAACTGCACTCATCTGGGCTTACGTTCACGAGCGGAGGAGCAGTGCGCAATGCACAAGTGTTTGTGCTATGCGTGTGTGGAGACAATCTGTCCATGAACCGCCTTGGAGGGTTTTCATGCTGTTTTAGTCAGGGCAGGGTATGCCGCTTTTGTATGGCAGCATCTAAAAGTCTGCTAGAGGTCACAACTGAGGATTCCTGTGCCCTGCGTTCAGCTCAGGCACATGAGCAGCACCTGCAAGCCATTGCTATTAATCCGATCGCCAACAAGAAACTTTATGGTGTCACTGAACGCTCCATACTGCTGGAACTGCCCTACTTCGACGTCACGCGTCAGTTGCCTCCCGACCTGATGCATGACATTTTGGAAGGGGGGTTTGAGTGCATTCTCCGACAAGTTTTGAAGGCATTAGTTCAGGGGGGCACGCTGGCATACAGCGATTTGGATTACATAGCTTCATTCGAGTACGGATGGAATGACAAAAAGAACAAGCCTGTTGCAATGAACAGGTCCTTTCTGACAAGCAAAGCGAACCTGAAGGGCACTGCTTCTGAAAAGTGGTGCCTTCTCAGACTCCTGGGTCTGATTCTTGGGGACCTGGTCCCAGAAGGTGATGCGGACTGGGAGTTATATCTGCAGTTCCGCGAGATTGTGGACATCGTCTTTGCTACGGTAATACCATGCGAGTACCTTCCGTACTTAGAGACGACTGTGCAGACCTTTCTCGTGGACTTTGCACAGCGATATGGTGCTGCAGCCATAACTCCCAAGATGCACTACCTGGTGCATTACGCCAGACTGATTCGAGAACTTGGACCACTGCCACAGTTTTGGTCAATGAGATTTGAGGCCAAGCATCAATATTTTAAGAGCCTCGCCTCGCGCGTCAAGAACTTCCGCAACATCACTCGAACCCTGTCAACACGGCATCAGCTGATGCTGAGTCACCAGCTGAAGGAGTTTTCATTTGATTCTGACCTCGTGACCCCATCTGGCAAGCCAGTTGAGCAGAGCGCTCTACCTCCTTGCGCTCAAGGAGTCCTGCCACTGAGTGCGCGCCAGGTGTCGCGTGCGTCACTCGACCACCGTGAGTACCGGTGTGGTACTGTCCTGGTGAAACCTTCCCAGGATGCCGAGCCACACTTCTGTAGAGTGGAAGCTCTGTATGTTGCCGAACGCAAGCTATTCATTTTGATTGAATTGCTAACGAACAAAGGTTTTGATCGGCACAGGTTTTGCTATCAGGTGCGCAAGTCTAGCGAGCTGAAACTCGTGAAGGCTGAAGAAGATGACACGCTTCACTGTGCTTTAGATTTATACAATGAGAGTGAAGTTGTGCCCAGATGGGAAGTACTGTAAGGTTTGCACTCGAGTGAAGTTGCTGTGGTCTGTTCAGAGACATTGTACATATGTGAAAGAATAAATGTTGCAGTAAACATTCTGCTTGCACTCAGAGGCCCTGTCAGTTGTATGTTTATGCTTCGAAACCCGGGTATGTGACGCGTGCACCCCCACTCGCGTTGCGGCCTAAGGTATTGCTGGCAAACACGCACCAACTTTTCCAATTACTTCAGACGGAAAATTTTGTCCACACAATTCGATTGCAGCATTGGTTTAATAATTTCTAACAGCTGAAAAGTATGTCAATAAAAATTGATTGCAAGGGCAGCTTCCCTTTAATTCATGAATTGTGGCTTTCTTATATGCGAAATATTTATTTAACTCAAAAATTCAAAAACCTACCGAATACCCAGACGTCCTGATCTTGATCCGAATGTATGTGTCGTAATCAAACAACGACAATGACAAAATAGATAGAGGAGACTTAAAAGAAAAGGGAATTAAACCAAGTGAACAGAAAATAGTGTTGCTCCAAGGCTCGAACTGTCTAATTACGTTTCTGATGTACGTTCATCTCTGCATTACATCAGGCCATGGCCGCAAAAGAGCTCTTGAAAGTCCGCCATGGTCCTTCGGGTCTACTTGGCAAAGTCGGACTCATGTAGAAAACATATCGAACTTCTTCTTGGAGGAAACTTTGCAGTCCTCATTTTTAGAGCTTCCATAGAATCATCAGTAAAAAGGGTCCCTGTTGTGTTAGTGACACATTTCATCGACACTGATCGTTTCATTGACACTGATCGTTTCATCAACACTACCACACCGTGCTGTCAAGTTTCATCGACACGCAATTGCACGCTGAAGGAACATTTCGTTGTGCGTTTATCACTGGGGTATGTATTAAACTATCCAACCCACCCAGTTCACGACGCTTCGCAGCGACAGTCTGCGGCAGTTCATTACAAAAATGTGAACTCGCCCAACCCACCCGTGCAAGCCACTTCGCAGCAGTGTGTACGGGTGGTCTGGCACCCGTCCATGTACCTGTACCCTTGCTCACCAACAGACCAGCGCACCCCAGTGGCGTCCCGAGGGTCAGCAGCACCCGGGGCAGTAGCCTGCCGTGACCCCCCCCTCCCCCCCCCCCCCCGCGACGCCCCCTTGAGCGCTGCACCCGGGGCGATCAGCCCCTCCCCCCCCTTGTGACGCCACTGGCGCACCCTTAACCAAAAAAAAAAAAAAAGTCGTCGATGAAACATAGCAAGATACGTCGATAAAACAATGTGTTCATAAAATGTCGCAGTGTTGATGAAACAAACTGTCGGGGAAATGTTGTTTGATGAAACAGTGCCACCGCACAAAAAACCTGTTTCCGAGCCGCGTTGCTTCAACACCATTGCAACTTGCATTATTTTTAGAAACCCATTGCTAGACAAAATGCACTCTATAAACAAAAAGAAAAAACTAGTGAATTTCACTTCCCTCTGCTGTTAAAGTTCACGACCTGAAATCGGGTAAGGAGCAGCTGGTTCGTCTCCGTCAGGCAAATTTAAAAGTTTTTGAACTGGACAAGGACTTGTTATTGGCATTATTGGTGCAAAATTATGACGAGCACAGCGGGCTCGGGCTTGAGAGTTAAGGCTTAATGTGGGGCTCTTTAAGCCGAGGGGCACGGCGAGTGCACACTGACAGTGGGAAGCGACCACCTAGCTCCTATGTGATCTCGTTGCAAGTCTTACGACCTCAGCCTTCAAAGGGCTCTGGATGATTCGCCATATGGAATAACTTCTGAGCATCCATTAGATGGATCCTATGATGAATTCGCTCCAACAGTACATCCCCTCGCCTTCCAGGAGGCAACTCACTTGATCCGGGTGCGAGAAGCTAGGGACTCCAAATCATGACAGTATATATTTGACCTCTGGGCCAGCTGACGGGGGCACTACATCAGCACCAACGAAAAAGCGGATTACGCCTGGTACAAACCACAGCATCACAAAACCGAGAAACGCCTCCATTCAATCTAAACCAGTTCCAAAAGTCGTCCAAGCACTGAAAAACGGCCTTTCATTACTTCACACCACTGCCCTCGGCAACAAGTCTGGCCGCAGTCTGTGCATTGTAGTTCTTATCGGCTCTAAAAAGATTTGATTTGATCCTCTACATTGCACTAGTCTGGGGGGCTTAAAACTAAGGCCTCTATGGAGGACCGCTTCACTTCATCATAGCGTTCCTGCAAGACTGACGATATCAAGCTTAAGTCTGATTGAATCAGGCCTAGTCACCGGCATTGCCATTCCACAGATCTCGGTCCTCTCACCCAACCTTCATCAATGTTGTAGCAGACTTTCCCTCACGTCAAGCAATTGGTGCTGTTTCTACGATATATTTCAAGTGAGCACAATGGCACCTCCAAAATTTAGAAAATCTATGCCACACCCCTTCAGACCACACCTCGGCGCACAGGGCACTGCCTGCTCCTCATCCACCACGAGGTGTTAGCCAATTTACCGAAGCGCGACCCAAGAGTCATAATGGCCGTCGACTTCATGGAAGCTTTCGACGTCCCTATTATGCTTCGAAACAGAGCACTAGAGCTGGGATTTTGCTCTCCACTGTGCTAACACGAGTTATTGTTATTTCCAGGGTGGCCTCAGTCATGTGAATGGCCACAGGCGTCCCATTTATGCTTCGAAACGGATCACTGGCAGTGATCGAGTGTTCACTGTCCACAGTGTTGACACATGTTATTGTGATCCTCAGCCACAGCCATTTTGTTCATGCTTCGAAATTGTGAGGCGACACAACTCCGTCAAAAATTGTGGAAGTTGAATTGCGTCCAGCAGTCTGGCATTCTGATGTCCGTTCGAACGGCACCAAGCAAACGCCGCAACTTTTTTCCTCGCTTCCTCCACTTTTCGGCGGCCTCAGTGCTCGTCAGTCTTGACCAGGGGCGGATGCAGGAATTTCCTGAGGGGGGGGTCAGGTGTTGGTCAGCGTACCATGTGTTTAGGAACCCTTTCCCCCTCTCCTTCGTTTTACGCCCCAAATTTTACAGATGCAGAAATCAAGGGAGGGGGTCAGGACATCCGGACCCCCCCTCTGGATCCACCCCTGGTCTTGACGTCATATGCCGTCTGCGAATGCTGTCTATCAGTTCTGTTGAGCCCTCGTATCCTTGTTAGTGTTCCAAAATTTATTCGATCTTGTAAGGGTTTTGTATCTTTGCATTTGAAGACCTACTACCCGCGTCCAGCATTGCTCCGTCTGTGTTATCACATGGCACGACCCGCAGAAGAGAAGCGTGGATCCACATGGGGTAAGATTTAGAGCTCAGCCCTTCTTGTTTTCGGGAGAGCAGTGGAGGCCTTGAGTGATTGATTGACAACCAACAGAGCTTGTGAGTGGCTGTCTGGACCCACGTGATGGGCATCCTCAAGACTCCCATGGAGTACACGGGCGAGACTTGACAGAGGAAACTTTCCCCTCGGCAAAAAAAAAGCAACAGACGGAAACGGAGTGCCGCTCGTTTTATGTCGGAGTCTTATCGCCTCATGATTTTGTAAGTATCCTCTTTGGATGGGCCTTTAGTCGTGTAAATGACCACAGACGTCCCGTAATTATGCTTCGAAACAGATCACTGGCAGCGAGAGTTAGCCGCTCACAGTGCTGACACACGTTATTGTGATTCTTAGAGTGGCCTCGGTCATGTGAATGACCACAGACGTTCCGTTTATGCTTCGAAACAGATTACTGGCAGTGAGAGTTAGCTGCTTACAGTGCTGACACACGCTATTGTGATTTTCAGAGTGGCCTCAGTCATGTGAACAGACACTGATGTCCCGTTTATGCTTTGAAACAGATCACTGCCAGTGAGAGTTAGCCGCTCATAGTTCTTACACATTATTGTGATACTCAAAGTGGCCTCAGTCATGTGAATGGCCACGGACGTCCTGTAATTATGCTTCGAAACAGATCATTGGCAGTGATAGTTAGCCACTCACAGTGCTGACACACATTACTGTTATTCTCAGAGTGGCCTCAGTTGTGTGGATGGACATCTACTACCCGTTTAAGCTTCGAAACAGATCACTGGCAGTGATAGTTAGCTGCTCACGGTGCTGACACATATTACTGTGATTCTTAGAGTGGCCTCGGTCATGTGAATGGCCACAGGCGTTCCGTTTATGCTTCGAAACAGATCACTGACGGTGAGAGTTAGCTGCTCACAGTGCTGACACACGCTATTGTGATCCTCAGAGTGGCCCAAGTTGTGTGAATGCACACCGATGTCCCATTTAGGCTTCGAAACAGATCACTGGCAGTGAGAGTTAGCTGATCACAGTGCTGATCAAAGCATAGTCCCAGTGCGACTGTCTTATGCGTATCTCCAAGTGTCTCTGGAGGGTGTGCACTGCCTCAAGTGTAGCGTGGTAGTTTGTTTTTCTTTGCCTGCACAAGCAGTTGACATTTTATTCGAGCTTCGATCAGTATTTGTTTTTGGGATCCATGGGACCCGGGGTTTGTTTTTGACACTATAATGGGGATGCATTTGGCTGCAATGATGTGCATGAAGTCTAGCCATGTGTCATAGGAGTCTGTGGGGTTATCTTAGAATATCATGCTCTAAGGGGCGAGGTGTATAAGCGCATTGAGGCATTTAGTATTGAGTTTTGCGAAGTGGTGGAGGCGTCTGGTACGGGGTCTGAATCTAGGCAGCTGGTGTTGTGTCCATTATAACTGCTTTGTAGTAAGAGCCCATGAGGCTGGGTTCTGTAAAACAATTTGAGATGAGTGTGAGGTTAGCAAAAAACATTAGATCAAGAAAGAAAGTGTAGCTGTTGCTGGTGCTGTAACTTGGTTCGTTTCATACTTGGATAAGTCCGAGTGTACCCCTGCAGACTAAGTGGGAGAGAGTCTGATGGCTCAGAGGGCACAGGTGTACTTGTGTCTGACCAGTTAATGTGGGCATTGAAGTGTCCAGCCACCAGCGCGTTCGAGTACTTTTTTTGAGGGGG